TATCGCTAAGATTTTGCCTCGCATACCGCTAAAAAACCCGCTCAACGCTGCTCGTCTGAGATGCGTCTGATGTGCGGCCTTAGCCACCCTCACATGTTCTGCCAGTGGCATTGTTTACCAGCCAGCCTCCGTGGTAACATCCAAGCATACAATCGGAATATTTCGTATTATTACAGTGTTTTTGGTGATTTTATCTGCAAAATAAGTGACCATGGGCCCCAAGAAAGCTTCTAGTGCCAACCCTACAGGAATAAGGGTGAGAATTACTATAGAGATGAAGAAAGAGATCATTGATAAGTATGAAAGTGGAGTGCGTGTCTCCGAGCTGGCCAGGTTGTATAATAAACCCCAGTCAACCATCGCTACTATTGTGGGCAACAAAAAGGCAATCAAGGAAGCTGTTCTTGCCAAAGGTTCAACTGTGTTTTCGAAACAGAGATCGCAAGTGATGGAAGATGTTGAGAGACTCTTATTGGTGTGGATAAATGAAAAACAGATAGCAGGAGATAGCATCTCTCAAGTGATCATAAGTGAAAAGGCTGGAAGTTGCATCAGGATTTAATTAAAAAAATGCCTGCAACTAGTGATGATGTGAGTGAATTTAAGGCTAGCAAAGGTTGGTCTGAGAGATTTAAGAAGCGTAGTAGCATACATAGTGTGATAAGGCATGGTGAGGCTGCCAGTTCGGACCACAAAGCAGCTGAAAAATAGTGCAGGAATTCAAGGAGTACATAGAAAGTGAAGGACTGAAACCTGAACAAGTGTTTAATTGTGATGAAACAGGCCTGTTTTGGAAGAAAATGCCAAGCAGGACCTACATTACTGAGGAGGAAAAGGCACTCCCAGGACATAAGCCTATGAAAGACAGGCTTACTCTGTTGATGTGTTCCAATGCTATGGTGATTGCAAAGTGAAGCCTTTATTAGTGTATCACTCAGAAACTCCCCGAGCGTTCAGACAAAGAATATCCTCAAGGCTAATTTGTGTGTGCTGTGGAGGGCAAACAGTAAGGCATGGGTCACTAGGGACTTTTTCTATGACTGGTTACACCATGCATTTGCCCCAAAGTGAAAGATTACCTAACTGAAAATAAATTAGACCTTAAGTGCCCCCTGGTGTTAGACAATGCCCTGGTCATCCTACAGACGTGGCAGAGCGACTTTATGGAGACATGAAGTTCATTAAGGTGAAGTTTTTGCCTCCTAATACCACTCCTCTCCTGCAGCCCATGGACCAGCAGGTTATTGCAAACTTCAAAAAAACTGTACACAAAAGCTCTGTTTGAAAGGTGCTTTGTAGTGACCTCAGAAACTCATGACTCTAAGAGAGTTTTGGAGAGATCACTTTAATATCCTCAATTGTGTAACCTTATAGGTAAGGCTTGGGAGGGAGTGACTAAGAGGACCTTGAACTCTGCTTGGAAGAAACTGTGGCCAGAATGTGTAGACAAAAGGGATTTTGAAGGATTTGAGGCTAACCCCGAGAGGAGTATGCAGTTGAGGAATCAATTGTGGCATTGGGGAAGTCCTTGGGGTTGGAGGTTAGTGGGGATGATGTGGAAGGTTGGTGGAGGAGGACAATGAAGAACTAACCACTGATGAGCTGATAGATCAACTTCAACAGCAAGAGGCCAGACCTGAGGAAACTGGTTCGGAGGAGGGGAGAGAGAAATTGAAGAAGTTGTCTACTACAAAGATTAAGGAAATCTGTGCAATGTGGCTGAAAGTGCAAACCTTTATGGATGAAAATCACCCTCACACAGCTATTGCAAGCCATGCTGGTGACTATTACACTGACAATGTTGTGAAACACTTTAGGGAAGTCATAAAGGAACGAGAGGTACAGGCCACTATGGACAGATATGTTGTGCGACAGAAGTCCAGTGACTCTGAAGCTGGTCCTAGTGGCATTAAAAGAAGAAGGGAAGTAACCCCAGAAAAGGACTTGACACCTCAAGTCTTAATGGAAGGGGATTCCCCTTCTAAACATTAAGACTCTCTCCTCCTCCCATCCCATCAATCATCACCAGATCTTCAATAAAGGTAAGTGTCATGTAATTGTGCATGCCTTTTTCAGTTTGTGTGTATTAAAATTAATATTTCATGTGGTAAAAATATTTTTTTTCATACTTTGGGGTGTCTTGCACGGATTAATTTGATTTCCATTATTTCTTATGGGGAAAATTCATCTGCATAACGATAATTTCGCATAACAATGAGCTCTCATGCACGGATTAATATCGTTATGCGGGGGTCCACTGTAATGATGATAATAATTATTATAACAATAACAATAATACAATACGTACAATAATAATAACAGGAGAAACTTCAAAAGGCTGCCAGTAGTTGGCACCACCATCAGCAAAACATTGGTAACCACTACTAGTACACTTTTCACCTGTCTAGACTTAAGTAGTCTATTAGTATTAGGTTAAGTCTGCACGAAATGCCTCGACATGATAGAGGCTTTCTTTGCTCCAATCATATTATGGTATGTAAACACACATTGTAACCTTTGCAAAGAAATAAATATTTTATTTATTTATTTAAGGAACCTCCCTTGAGGGGGAAGTTCGCATCGTGAAATTTCATTCGTATCCAGAAGCAAAAAATCGACTGAACGGCAGTTCGTATCCTGAAAAATTCGCATGGTGGGGCGTTTGTAAGCCGAGATTCCACTGTATATAAATATTGTTTTAACAAACTGGCTGTCTCTCACCAATGTATGGTGACCTGAAAAAGAAACAGTTTCACCATCATTTACACTATCACTGTCTTTCCAGAGGTGTGTATGTGTTTGTCTGTCTTGTCCATCTCTGTCTGTCTGCCTGTCATATTTTCACATGTAATAGCAGGGTCCTACACAGATGACAGCAAGGAAATGAGTGAGCTACTCAAGTCCCAACATGACTCACTTTTTAGCAAGCCGCTAACCAGACTGAGAGCCGAAGATCAAAATGAATTTTTTATGAGAGAGCCACAGAATTTGGTTAACACAAGCCTATCTGATGTTATCCTGACACCAAATGACTTCGAACAGGTGATAAATGACATGCCCACGCACTCTGCCCCAGGGCCAGACTCATGGAACTCCGTGTTCATCAAGAACTGCAAGAAGCCCCTATCACAAGCTTTTACCATCCTATGGAGAGGGAGCATGGACACGGGGGTCGTCCCACAGTTACTAAAAACAACAGACATAGCCCCACTCCACAAAGGGGGCAGTAAAGCAATAGCAAAGAACTACAGACCGATAGCACTAACATCCCATATTATAAAAATCTTTGAAAGGGTACTAAGAAGCAAGATCGCTACCCATCTAGAAACCCATCAGTTACACAACCCAGGGCAACATGGGTTTAGAGCAGGTCGCTCCTGTCTGTCTCGACTATTGGATCACTACGACAAGGTCCTAGATGCACTAGAAGACAAAATGAATGCAGATGTAATATATGCAGACTTTGCAAAAGCCTTCAACAAGTGTGACCATGGTGTAATAGTGCACAAAATGTGTGCTAAAGGAACAACAGGAAAAGTTGGTAGATGGATCTATAATTTCCTCACAAACAGAACACAAAGAGTAGTACATAGTCAACAGAGTAAAGTCCGAGGCGGCTACGGAGAAAAGCTCCGTTCCACAAGGCACATTACTCACTCCCATCTTGTTTCTCATCCTCATATCTGACATAGACAAGGATGTCAGCCACAGCACCATGTCTTCCTTTGCAGATGACACCCGAATCTGCATGACAGTGTCTTCCATTGCAGACACTGCAAGGCTCCAGGCGGACATCAGCCAAATCTTTCAATGGGCTGCAGAAAACAATATGAAGATGAGAAATTTCAATTACTCTGATATCGTAAACACGAGAAAATTAAAACTTCATCAGAGTACAAAACAAATTCCGGCCACAAAATAGAGCGAAAAACCAACGTCAAAGACCTGGGAGTGATCATGTCGGAGGATCTCACCTTGAAGGACCATAACATTGTATCAATCGCAGCTGCTAGAAAAATGACAGGATGGATAATGAGAACCTTCAAAACTAGGGATGCCAAGCCCATGACACTCTTCAGGTCGCTTGTTCTATCTAGGCTGGAATATTGCTGCACACTAACAGCACCTTTCAAGGCAGGTGAAATTGCTGACCTAGAAAATGTACAGAGAACCTTCACGGCATGCATAACGGAGATAAAAACACCTCAATTACTGGGAGCACTTGAAGTTCCTGAACCTGTATTCCCTGGAATGCAGGCGGGAGAGATACATGATTATATACACCTGGAAAATCCTAGAGGGACTAGTACCGAACTTGCACACGAAAGTCACTCACAACGAAAGCAAAAGACTTGGCAGACTATGCAACATCCCCCCAATGAAAAGCAGGGGTGTCACTAGCACATTAAGAGACAATACAATAAGTGTCAGGGGCCCAAGACTGTTCAACTGCCTCCCAGCATACATAAGGGGGATTACCAATAAACCCCTGACAGTCTTCAAGTTGGCACTGGGCAAGCACCTAAAATCAGTACCTGACCAGCCGGGCTGTGGCTCGTACGTTGGATTGTGTGCAGCCAGCAGTAACAGCCTGGTTGATCAGGCTCTAATCCACCAGGATGCCTGGTCACAGACCCCCGGAACTCTCTCCAGGTAAACTCCAGTAATGGTGGATATACATAAATGTAAATAGGGTACAATATGTTTTAAGTTACCTTATTGCCATGTGTAATATATGCAGTAAATAATTTTTGGAAATTAATGCTACCTAGTACTAAACTGCTTTGTTTTCTGTCACATTTCCTATAGTAGTTAATTTCCATATACTAAGAGAACATAGCTTATAATGAGGGAGACATTCTTTTGGTAATTGAAACATATCAACAAACAATTTTTAAAATTATATCAAAGCTTAAGTTTTCTTTTTTCTAGTAGTGAAAACCCCTAAAAAAGTATGTATTGTATACACATCTAATTGAAACATTATCCATTAATTCTAGCATTTGATGAATTAGTTGCGGCATACAGTGAGCAAGCAAAAGGACTGTTAGATGGAGGAGTTGATGTACTCTTAGTGGAAACCATATTTGATACAGCTAATGCAAAAGCAGCACTCTTTGCCATCCAGACACTGTTTGAAAATGAGTATGATCCTGTACCTATATTTGTAAGTTACGTCAAGTTTTACATGTTCTTCATGGATAACATAAATTTCAGGAACCTGTATCTTAATTATATTTGACCATAACTTGTAGTTTGCTGATGTACCCGAATGATTTTTCTCGTGTGAACTTTGCTTAAAATGTAAACATTTAGTTTATTTAGATAGAAAATGTGACACTTTTTGAACTAAATGAGGAAACTTGTTATTTTGCTGCATCACTTACAGGTGTCTGGAACCATTGTAGACAAGTCAGGTCGCACACTCTCTGGACAGACTGGAGAAGCTTTCATCATTAGTGTTTCTCATTCACAACCCATGTGGTATGTTTTTAGCTGATATTATCCTTCATATTTTTTTTATTTGCAGTAGAATAGTGCCCTCCACTTACTATCTTTTATGTATTACACATGATTTTATAAGGACAGTTCGCTTTCACTACTGTCTTAACCCTTTGAGGGTGGGTTCCGTTGTTTTACAGCTTTCAAGCCTGAGTTGGTCCCATGGTACTACACCATGAGCTCACCTCACTCTCATATGCTGTAAATGGTAAATTTGGGCCTAGATATGAGAGAATGGGTCTATTTGCAGTAAGTGTGCACCATATAAAAAAATCCTGCAGCATGCAGTACATAATGGGAAAAAACTACGACTGTGTATTTTTATTACAACAGCAACTTTGTAATGTATTGTCGTATAGTTTTTACGATTGTATTTTCAACTTCTTCGCCTCATTTGATAGAATGGAAGATATATTACAGAAATAGACATGATTTTGATTGGTTTCGGCACTGAAAGTAGCTTGAAATTGAGCTCAAAGTAGCTGAAATAATCGATTTTTGCTGATATTCCAGAGTACACAAATGACATCTCCCGTCCATCTGGCCACTGTAATACACATTTATGAATGCACTGACATTATTTATACAATTATTACAATAATGCAGTGGTCTTCATAACAGTAAATACGTACAATATATTTTGTGTGAATAAAAATTCAAAATGGAAAGCAAGTGTACTATAGGAGAGGACTGCAGACGTGACTAATGAGCAAGGAAATGTTATTTTAGTGCCAGGAATGCCTGCATTGTTTATTCTGGACCCTATTTTGAAAGTGGCATTTCTTGAATTTTGTGTGAAATTGTCCAAATTACCAATTTCTGATCTCTTGTACTCAATCAGTAGAATGGAAGGCATACTAGCAAAACAGCTAAGAATTTAGTCAACTGGACCAGTGGAATTGGCATAAAATTGGACTCAAAGTTGACAAAGTTGCTGATGCATAAATATCACTGACACAGCAAGATTCACAAAAGCATAATTTCATCAGTTTTCCATCAGATTTTGTACTTTTTTGTTTTATACTTTCAGAAAAAAAATCTACCATTTCATAAGAAAAAATAACCTTTTTTATTTTTTTTTTTCGATTTTCCAACCCTGAGAGCCAGTTTGAAAGCAGGGGTCACAACCCTGAAAGGGCTAACCCTTTGACTATCCCGGTGGTATATATACGTCATAGGAGATACCAATGTTTGACGTAGTGTTTGACGTGTAGTGTTTGACGTATCTATACCCCACATGTGAGAGAATGGGTCTCCATGGTCAGTGTGCACCATATAAAAAAAATCGGGGAGCCAGTGGTGCATTGTGGGAATACCATTTCAGTCGTCCTTTTTCAGCATGTCTAGCGGTAAGAAATATGTGACTCCCCAGCAAATCTGGGACTCTTCTCTTCCCAAGTGATGCTCTAACACAGATGGAAGTGTCATTGAAGATCAATTTCATGATTTCGAGGAGTTTGAGACCAAAAGCAATGGAGGAGGAGGAGGAAGAAGAGGAGGAGGAGGAGGAGGAAGAGGAAGAGGAAGGAGGAAGAGGAAGGAGGAAGAGGAAGGAGGGAGGAGGGAGGGAGGAGGAGGAGGAGGGAGGGAGGGAGGGAGGTGGAGGAAAGAGGGAGGTGGAAGAAGGAGGGAGGAGGAGGAAGAAGAAGAAGAAGAAGGAGAGGAAGAGGAGGAAGAATAGGAAGAAGAGGAATAATAATAATAATAATACCTAATAATAATAATATGTTCCCTTGAGGGAGAAAACAGTTCACCCCCTGACAGTGACAAGATAAGGGGATAAAAATTGTAAAGCTGCCTTTGATAGCGTAACGAGGGTGGAGGGAGGGGGGGATTTTCATCTTCAAGAGCCAGGAGGGGAGAAGGGGAAGGGAAAAAGGAGGAAGAGAAGGAGGAGGAGAAGGGGAGGAGAAGGAGAAGGAGGGGGAGGAGGAGAAAAAGAAGGAGAAGGAGGGGGAGAAGGAGGAGGGGAAGGAGAAGAGGGGGGAGGAGAAGGGGAAGGAGGGGGGAGGAGAAGGAAAGAGGGAGGAGGAGAAGGGGGAGGGAGGAGGAGAAGGAGAAGAGGAGGAAGGGGAAAAAAGAAGGAGGAGGGGAGGGAAGGGGAAGGAGGAGGAGAAGGAAGGGGAGGGGAGGGAAGAAGAGGGAGGAAGGGGGGAAAAGGGGGAGAAAGAAGAGGGAGGGGAGGAGGAGGGGAAGGAGAAGAGGGAGGAGGAGAAGGGAAGAGGGGGGAGGAAAGGGAAAGGGGGGAGGAGAAGGAGAAAAGGGGGGAGGAGAAGGAAAGAGGGGGGAGGGGAGGGGGAAGGGGAGGAGGAGGAAAGGGAAAAAAGGAGGAGGGGGAGAAGAGAAAGAAGGAGGAGGAGGAGGGAAGGAGAAGGAAAAGAAAGGGGGAGGAGAAGGGAAGAAGGAGGAGGGGAAAGGGAAGGGAAAAAAGGGGGGAGGAGGAGAAAAAGGGGGAGGGGGAGGGGAAAAAGGAGGGGGAGGGGAAGGAGGTGAGGAGAAGGGGGAAAAAGGAGGAGGGAAGGGGAAAAAAGGGGGGGGGAAGGGAAGAAGAAGGAGGAGGAGAAGGAGAAGAAAGGGGGAGGAGAAGGAGAAGGAGGGGGGGGAGAAGGGGAAAAAAGGAGAGGGAGAAGAAGAAGGGGGAGAAAGGAGAAGAAGGAGGAGGAGGAAAGGAGAAGAAAGGGGGAGGAGGAGGGAAGAAGGAGAAGGAGAAGAAGAAGAAGGAGGAAAGAAGAAGAAGAAGAAAAAAGAAGAAAGGGAGGAGGAGGGGAAAGGGGAAAAGGGAAAAAGAAGACAAAAACTTTTTTCTGTCTGTCTTTTGTCTTCTCCAAGCTCCCTGTCTATCCGTCTAGCTCTGTCTCAGAGAGAGCCACAAGACTGTTCTTCATACGGTTTACTCACATCTTCAAGCAGAGTATAGACTTTGTCTGGATTTTTTGGGTTATCCTAGGTATTTTACATGATGTATACTTGTATTTATGTGTACCTGTGCGACAGAGATAGACAGGACAGAGGGAAAGAGAGAGACAGATTGAAAAGAGATAGAATGAGGGCGAAAGATAATTAGATAGAATGGAGGGGAAGCAGCAAATCGACCCCATTGTTTTGATCATGGCGGTTTTTGGGGGAGTGAGTAATGAGACAATATGTCAATTTTGACAGCTGCCGACTTCCTGACTCAAAATAATTTATAAGCCACACTACTTGTACCAAGACAAGCTTGGCTGAATGGTGATAATAGCAGTTTTATGAAAGTATCTAGTGATATATATATGTGTATATATATTATAGAAACAGAAGCAAGTAAGGGAAGGCAGAATGAAGGATAGGAACTAGAATGAAAGGAAGGAAAAAAGTTAGGAAGGACAGATGAAGGAATGTAGGAAGAGAGTGAATGCCCTACATGGTAGCCTCCAGGTTAGGAAAGGAATGAAGGAAATTAGGAAGGAAGAGAATGAGACACACGACCATTTAACCTAGGATAATACATGAACACAATGCCTGTAATACTTTTGAGAAAATGCTCAGACGAGGTTGTTTTGTCTTTGCACATAAAAAAATCTTCAACTAAAAATGCCACACTGATTTTATGTGTGAGTGAGTGTAAATCACCACTGTGTATGACACCATGTTTTATGTGTGAGGAGTGTAAAAGACACTGTGTATGACACCATGGTTTTATGTGTGGGAGTGTAAAAACACCTATGTGTATGACACCATGTTTTATGTGTGTGAGTTGGTTAAAACACCATGCTGTATGACACCATGTTTTATGTTGTGAGTGTTTTTTAACACCACTGTGTATGACACCATGTTTTATGTGGGAGGAGTGTAAAAACACCACTGTGTATGCACTTGTTTTATGTGTGAGGAGTGTTTAAAACTCCACTGTGTATGACACCATGTTTTATGTGGTGAGGAGTGTAAGAAACACCACTGTGTATGACACCATGTTTTATGTGTGAGGAGTTGTAAAACACCCACTTTGTTTGGACACCTGTTGTATGTGTAAGAGTGTTAAAAACACCATGTGTATGACCCCATGTTTTTATGTGTGAGAGTGTAAAACACCAATGTGTATGACACCATGTGTTTATGGTGTGAGTGTTGTAACACCACTGTGTAGGACACAGGTTTTATGTGTAAGAGTGTATATAATACCACTGTGTATGACACATGTTTAATGTGTGAGTGTAAAACTCTCACTGTGTATGACACCATGTTTATTTGATGTGTGAGTGTAAAAAACCACTGTGTATGAACACCGTTTTAGTTGTGTGGGAGTGTAATAACACCATGTGTATGTCACCATGTTTTTATGTGTGAGAGTGTTAAAAAAACACCATGTGTATGAACCATGTTTTATGTGTGAGGAGTGTAAAACACACTGTGTTATGACACCATGTTTTATGTGTGAGAGTGTAAATCACCACTGTTGTTGACCAACCATGTTATTATAACGATCTGAGCTTTAGTGTTGAGAGAGTGTAAAACACACTGTGTATGAGACCATGTTTTATGTGTGAGGTGTAAAAACACCACTGTGTTTGACACCCTGTTTTATGTGTGAGGAGTGTTAAACACCACTGTGTATGACACCTTGGTTTTATGTGTGAGAGTGTAAAACACCCACTGTGTATGACACCATGTTTTATGCTGTGAGGAGTGTAAAAACACACTGTGTATGACACCATGTTTATATGTGGAGTGGTCAAAAACTCACATGTGTATGGAGACCATGTTTTATTGTGAAGTGTAAACACCACTGTGTATGACCACCGTGTTTTATGTGTGAGAGTGTAAAACACACTGTGTATGCACCATGCTTTCACAGAGTTCTACAAGCTGCAGAACTTGAGGATATGTTCTGTGACTGTATTATTGGGTATATATATTATTGAACAATTAGTAATAAAAAAAATTTTGTATTTGTTTTTGTAAACAAGTTTTGTAAACAATATATTGATAACTATGTTTGTGTGCTT